CTGGAAGAGAGTGATTCCCGAACAAAGAGGGATTTGCAGCTGGTTTGTGCGGCAGCATCCGGGGCAGCCCCAGCCTCCTCCCGCACGCTGCTCCGCAGCCCGGGCCGCTGATTGGAAACCCGAGCCTGCCATCACTCCGACAGCCAGGAATTATGCTGATGGATTTTTTATTATTTTTCCCCCTCCCTGTGCTTGAATGCACTCAGCAAATATAAGCAAAAGGGAAAAAAAAAAAAAAAAGAAGAACGAGAGAAAATCCAAACAGATTCAATTTTAGATATGGCGATGAAGCAAAATGGTTGCAGTGCAAAGAGGGAAGGCTAAGGGGGGAAAAGCTCCTGCCTCAAGGAGGAGCTGGAGCTGTAAAGCTCCCACCAGCCCTGAGGCTGCTGTTTATGATTTACAGGGTTGTGATGACATGGGGGGCATGTCCCATAGGGACCCATCAGCCCCACAGAGGCAGTGAGAGCTGTGGGGATGCAGCTGGTTATGAAGGTATGTGGTTTCATCAAATCCTTCCTAGTTTTAGAAAATGCCTGCTCTGATGGGAAGTGAGGAGGCTAATTTTCTGTGGGGGGTGTGAAGGATTTTCCTGGAGGCCCCTGTAACAGCCTGTGCAAATGTGCTGACTGGGAGTGTTGTGCCAAAACCAAACCCCAAACTTGCCTTTCCAAAAAAGGCCCAAGTGAAATGCTGTGGACGTTCAGCCTGGCTTTGCAGCAAACCTACTGGTGCATCCAGGCTGGGGAACAGCTCTGGTCAACCCAACTGATACTTGTTTTGGATCAATTCTTTATCTCAGTCCTGTCGCCTTCCTTGGGCTGCCCGACTCCCACCCCTTGCTGCCTCCCCTCTGGTGGCTTCCAGCCTGTGGATGCTGCCTCCCCCTTACTCCAGCCTTGCAAGGCAGTCCCATGTGCCACCAACTCCAGTGCAGACAGGCAGGTCCCTGCTCTGACCCTGCCCAGGTGCTGCCAGCCTGGGACCACCCTGCTGGAAGCAGCAGCACTGCAGCTGCATCTGCACCCACCCCTCTCCATCCTTGTCCCAGTGAAAGCTCCACAGCCATACCCACACTCACTTCTCTTTATCTTTCCTGTCTCTGTGCCATGCCCACAGCTCCTGGGAGTGTTTTGGCTCTGGGGAAGCAGAGCATTCAGAGGGCATCCAGCAGCTGAGAATGAGGACCAAAAATGAAGGAAGTAATATAGGGGAACAAAATGAAATGAAGCAATTATCCCTGCTCTGATACTTTCTAATTAAGGAAAGTGTCACCCTTATTAAGAGGCCATTAATTCATCGTCATAAGTCACCACCAGTGCAAGCACCAAAAACGTGCCTGGGCCGTGGGGAGCGGAGCAGCTTCCCCTCCTCCTCACACCACAGGCTCCAGCCCCTGTGGGAGCTGCTGCTTGAGGCCACAGGGCTGCTCATGGATTGCTGCAGGAAAGGCCCTGTCCCCACAGCCTGGGCTGTGCTTTGGTGTGCTCTGCCACAGTGCTCAGCCTGTCCCAAACAGGGATGAGCCCATCCACCTCCACCTGCGAGTGCACGCTCTGCCCTGTGGGCTCCAAATGGATTTGTGCAAAGCATGTGGTGAGCTCTCAGCAGAGATCAGCTCCTGGCTGCTCTGGGCACCCAAGCCACCGAAGAGCTGCCCAAATGTCTCCAGCCCTGCGGTCAAGGCCAGCATTTCCTCCTGCATCACCTCCCATTATCAGGCAGCTCTGTCTTGGCAGTCTCTCATTATGTATTCTGCATGGAGGGCCCCACATCAGCTTAATTAACAAGGTAAGAAAAACGGGACCTTTGAGGAAATCTTAATTATATTATCCATCTCACCCTGAGTGGCACCTGATCCATCCCAACACTGTTTTCAAGTTCATTAGCAATAAATCAAGATTGATTAGTCCTGGATGTGCAGCAAGAACATACTGGAGCAGAAGACTTCTGCTGCCATTGCTGCAGGACTCTGTGTGTGCTCCCAAGCCCTGTCTTGTCCTCCAGCACCAGCAGTGGGAGGGGGAGCAGGGCTATGGGATGAGACAGAGAGAGGTGTGCCAGAGCTGGGATGTGGCTGTTGGAGCATCCCAGGAGTGGCTGTTTCACTGTGCCCCTGCCACACGCTGGCACCTCACCCTTCCCTGGGATGTTCTGACTTGGGACAGCACCCAGGCAGCCCTTCCAGGCTGCTGCACCCTTCCAGGGGTGAGGCAGCCACAGCTACTCTGGGCAGGCTGTGCCAGTGTCTCACCACTCTCACAGAGAGGAATTTCTTCCTAATATGCAACCTAACCCTGTCTTCTGCTGGTTTAAAGCCATTCCTCCTTGTCCTGTTACTTCATGCTCTTGTTCAAAGTCACTCAGCTCCTTTAGGCACTGAAAATGGCTCTAAGATCTCATCAGAACCTTCTCTTTTCCAGGTTTACCAACGCCACGTTCCCCAGCCTGTCTTCATTGCAGTGGTGCTCCAGCCCTTGGAGAACCTTTGGGTTCATACTCTGGACTCACTCCAGCAGCTCCACAACCTTCTGATGTTGGGATCCCCAGAACTCGATGTGGGGTCCCTCGTGAGCAGAGAAGGGGGGGTCCAGCAGCTCCACAACCTTCTGATGTTGGGATCCCCAGAACTCGAGGTAGTGCTGCATGTGGGGTCCCTCGTGAACAGAGAAGGGGGGGATAAACCTCCCTCCCTGCTGCCATGGGGATGCAGCCCAGGACGGGCTTGGCTTACTGGCTGCCAGCACTTGTTGCTCATGTCAAGCTTCCCCAGTGGCTTGGGGTGGTTTGTAATCATCCCTGTGCACATGATGGGATGACAGGGTCCTAATTAGAGGGAGCATGCAAACCACTGGGGACAGGCATTCCCATTTGAACCAGCTCCACCTCAGCAGAGCCACTGGCAGGCACTGCCACCCCTGTGCCCAGCCCTCCGTGTCCTCCCACCCTGCTCAGGGACAGCACAGAATGTGAATTTCAGCACCCGCCGTGAACTTCAGCACCCACTGTGGATTTCAGGGTCGGAGGGATGGGGAGCATTCCCTGCATCAGAGCCACAATCAGCAGTGCTTCAGAGCTGGAGGTGTTTACATCATCAAGCTCAGTAATTACTCAGACAAATTTGCATGCATTTTCTATGGGCATCTCTGCTGGCTTTTTTATTTTCTGCTTGAAATCCTTGCTGGAATCTGCAAACTGCCTCTGCCACTGGAAAGGGATTGCTGGATTGTTCCTTTCTAAGAAGGTACTGAACATAACTCCTGGTGCCAGGAACACATTGGCCCTCTTATTCAAAAGATTTTCCACTAAATAAAATGGCAAAAATTTTTATCAGAGACAGGACTTGTGTGGCCATTGCCTGGCCCTGTGCCCCGGTGCTGCTGCCTGTATCCTCCTGCCTGCTGCAGGGGAGTGACTGATGCTTACTGGTGTTTTCTGTTTACTTTAATTGTTGTCTGGTTTTAATATTGCATAAATTGATTCATCTGTGTTTCATTGTCGGCCCTGTTTGGTTTGGGGCAGTGCCTGGAATATCACTGGCAGATAAGTGCTGGACAAATAGAAGGTATTTTTCTTGCTCAGCAGAAGATGAGGAGTGACCAAGCTGTGCCTCAGTCTGAGAGGATCCAGAGCAGCATCTGCCTCCAGTTCCCAGGGTCCTGGTGCAATACTCACCACCCCAAATTCTCACCCACGAGGAGAACTGTCCTTTCTTGGATCCACCAAGCAGACACATTTTGCTGTATGCCCACAGCTACTGAAGTCAAAACTGTGTCAGGGCTGTCCTGGATGCATCCCCGCTGCCTTTGGCAGAGTCCTGGGTGCCCCTTGGACAAGCCATGGGCATTAGGTGGCACCAGACACTGCCAGAGCAGTAGTTCAGAGCCAGCCTGCAAAGATGCTCTGCTCCTTTCTTGGATCCACCAAGCAGACACATTTTGCTGTATGCCCACAGCTACTGAAGTCAAAACCGTGTCAGGGCTGTCCTGGATGCATCCCTGCTGCCTTTGGCAGAGTCCTGGGTGCCCCTTGGACAAGCCATGGGCATTAGGTGGCACCAGACACTGCCAGAGCAGTCAGCCTGCAAAGATGCTCTGCTATCACCATCACCATCCTCATCAGAACAAAGACACAGAGCAGGGGACTGGGGGCAGGACAGCATCCTCCTGCCAGCCCTGGCAATATTTTTTCACATTGCTCCTCCACCTCATCCTGTACTGGTGGGTGTCAGAAAGACACCTGAACAGGGGCCATGGTTTGGGCTCTGGTCGAGTGCAATAGGTCACGTTTCTGCTTTCTTCTGAGCCTCCTTTCCTCCATGCTGAGGAGCTGGAGAGAGCCAGAGCATCCTCAGGAGCACAGCATGGGGCAGCCAGGCTTTGGGACAGGATCTGGGGAAAACCCAGCCTTTTCCAGACAGTCCAGGGCAGCCCCAGCACTGTTCTGTGCACCCCAGCTGCATTCCAAGCCAAATCTCCACCAGCTTACTCCATGAGCCCTGCTGGAGCCTGGAGCAGGCATTTCTCCCCGTGCAGCTCCCAAGCTCTGGAGAGAAGCTCAGCGTCTCCCTCTAACGATGTGCACACACCTGCAGCCGTGATCTGCTCCTTGGGCTTCTGCCCCCCGTCACCCCGCAGCTCCCCGTGCCTCCCCACGCCTCCCACTGCCCCCCCAGGACAGAAACAAACCCCACCGTGGGGAAGATGGGATTTTTCCTGCCTTCTTTTTCCTGGCTTCTTTTTCCTTTTCTTTAAACTCAATAAATTCTCCCAGCTCTGTTGCTCATGAGTCTCCGGTGAGGTGAGAAGAGCAAATTTTGCTGCATATTAGAAAAGGTCAGTATGGAAAGAGGAAGAAATTCTAATTCCTGTGTCCTGGGGTACCAGGGGCTACACACAGCAAAGCCCTGGAGCTGCTTCCCTGCAGACAGAGCTGAAGGTCATAGACCCCTGACCCACAGGCAGAGAGGGAAGATGTTCAGCCTAGCATGGAGGGATTTAGGGCTGTAGACATCTCCTGAGCATCCCCAGGAAGGACTGGAGGGACCAAACTCAGAGGGCAGGTTCAGGTATGGGAAGAGCCAGAAGAGCAGAGAGTTAAAATAACAGTCTCTAATTTATTACCAGTGGAGAAGCAGGCTGGAGGATGCCTGGCCAGGGAGCACCATGACCTGCCCCCACATCCCAGTGCCCCAGGGGTTTTGAGGTGCTGCTGTTTTTGGACCCCCACAGCCCTACCCTCACCACTTGAGGTGGAATGTGGGGAGGTGACAGCATCCACCCTGGCCAAAAATCCTGATTTACACATGGATTTTCCTTATCTGTCCACAAGGGCAGTCTGTAGCTCTGTATGGGAGAATTTGGGAGATGGGGGCCTGACAGCAAACACTTTCTCTGTAATGATGGTGAAGGTCATGAGGAAGGTGCCTGGCTTTGGTGGCACCATCGCCAGCCCTTGGGCAGGAGGTCAGGACAGGAACCTGCCAATGCCTGGATGAGCAGAGCTCTGCAGAGCTGGTGGGAGCATGGAGCAGAGCAGGACTAGGCACAGGAGCTGGGGAAGACCTGGAACCCCGTGTTACCCCAGCCCCACCCTGGGCAGCCCCCACAACCAGCCAGCAGCACCCTCCCTGCTCCCCCCAGCCTCTGCACGGGCTCTGCCAGCGGATGAAGGATGAGCTCTTGGCACAGCTTCCTCCAGGCCATGGCTCCTGGTATACCCAACCTGCTTTTACTTGCAGATTTTCCAGCTCTGATGACTCAGCTCCCTTTTTAACTCACCAAGTGGAGCTGGGTGCTGGGGTCTTGGCCCCGCTTTGAATTTTTTGTCTGGTTGTATCATCTTGTTTGCTACTGATAACGTCACCTCCCCGGACGCTGGAAGGCAGCCCAGTCTGATGAGGAAACCAAAGCTCCCTAAATAGGCTCCGAGGCATGGACACGAGTTGCTGGGTGCTGGGATGTTGCCCAAGTGCATAATGCTTCAATGTCCTGCACATGGCTCTGAGCTGTCCCTGGAATCACGGCGTTCCCTTTCTCCACAGTGCTGAGCCCTGCCTTTTGCCATCTCCTTTTTTCCATCTCTTTCCCTGTGAACCATCAGGCTCAGGTGGATGGAAGTTCATCATCTGTCCCAGCAGCTGGTTTGCTGATTTTCCTCCAGCCAAGAGCCATGTCTGCTGGAAGAAACCTTCCACCCCTTCACAGGAATGTATTCCTTTAAAAGAAAGAGAAGGAAGAAGCGGGAGAGGAGCCCTGGAGTGTCTGGGAAGCTGTCTCTTCTTATTCCAAGCCTGTGGCTCAGGTCTCGTATCGGCGATGCACAGCCCATCCCAGCGGAGCTCGGTTCACAGTGTTGGTGCAATCTGCCAAACAGACGGATCAGCTAGGAGACATTTCCAAAAGAAGCTGGAACAAGGTGGGAGAGGAAGGAATAAACATCCTGCAGGGAGGCACGTCGCAGCCCACCCACTACCAGCCCCAGAGAATCTCTTCCCTTGCGTGCAAAAAGCCACTGATGGATTTTGGGCTGTGTGTGCACCACAGCTCCCCCCTGTTCTCCCTGAACAACCCCACAACCCATCCCTGTGTGCCACAGCCCATGCCTGGCTGCCCCGCTGGCCCTACCTTGGCTGAGCAGCTGCAGGTTGCGGACCTCCTCGCGCACCTGGAGCTGCAGGACCTGCTGCAGCAGCTCCTGCCGCTGCGTCTCCAGCGCGATCCCCATGCGCTGCAGCTTCTCCCCGTTCAGCCGCAGCAGCGCCCGGCCTGCAAACACGGAATGCTCGGTGCCCCACCAGCCCCCTGCAGCGGGGATGACTCCAGGAAAGGGCAACACAAAGGGGAGCCCATCAGCACGGAGGAACGAGGAGGGAGTGCTGTCTCACTGCCTGCAGTGGTGTGTGGAGGAGCAGGGTGAGCATGAATGACTGGCAGAGGATAGGGTTAAACTGGATGTTGGGAAGAAATTCATCCCTGTGAGGGTGGTGAGGCCCTCGCACAGGTTATCCAGAGAAGTTGTGGCTGCCCCATCCCTGGAAGTGTCCAAGACCAGGCTGGACAAGGCTTAGAGAAACCTGGTCTAGCAGAAGCTGTCCCTACCCATGGCAAAGGTGTGGAGCGAGGTGAACTTTCAGGTCCCTTCCAACCAAACCATTCTGGTTTGTGCTGTCCCTTTCAGAGAGAGCCGGGTGGCAGCTCACGTCCCCAGCCTCTGCCAGGTATCAGCAGCACAATCCTGTAACCCATCCCCGCAGGCAGCAGCAGCTTTCCTTTCTCCGCTCCACCTCCCACACGAGGAGATGTTTTCCGAGCACAGAGTCCCCACACAGGCTGCTGGTCCCGGGGCAATGAATGGGGGTGCCCATCACAACACATTAGTGCTCCAGTCCCCTCAGTCTGGGGCTATTACAGGAGGGATTCTAAACCAGCTTTTGTCCTTGCTTCTCAGCGTACACTCACTAATGCTGCCTTTGTTGCCTGAGCAAGGGCTGGCTGAGCTTTTGCATTAGGATTTTGCATCCCCCCCAGGCAGCTCCTGCCCTCACTTCCCTGCCACCCTCCCCTGGCCCTGGCAGAGCTCAGTCTGGCCTTGCACATATTGAAGTTGGGCTGGAATGATGCTCTTACACAGAGGTCAAAGCCACTGTCCCCGGGGAGCAAAGGGGAGGGAGCAGATCCTAGAGGTGAGTCTGTTTGAAGGACTTGATTGGGAGTTGGATTTGGACCCGGACAAAGACCTTTGAAACTTGGACTCCAATGGGCAGAGATTTTTCTCTTCTGCAAAAATTTTCCGTATTCAAAAATTTTAATAATACTATTATTATATTAAACTTGGTGATGAGAAGACTCTTCCCTGTCTTATAAACCAATTTAATAATTTTAAAGAGCCTCCAGCCTGTCCTGGAGCTCACCCAGGTGGCAGATGCCTCCTGCCCAGCCTGGGTCAGTGTCACTGTGTCCCCTGCTCTCCCCCTGGCTGCATCTCATGGGGAGAGGGGACAGAAATGGGGGGTATGTCCATCTTCTGAACCACCAGTGTCCAAACAGCCTTTCCCAGGAGCATGTGCCAATGGCAAACAGTGCAGAGGACACTCTGTACCTGTGATGGCGTGGTGGGAGAACGCCTCCACGTAGATGAGATAGTTGTGTGGGCAGTGCTTCTTCAGCCATTTGCACACATCCTGCTGGGTCCACAGCACCACTGGCTTGACCAGGCTGCCCAGCGTGGGGCTGGTGTGGTAGATGCCATAGTGGTCACAGCCACGGACCTGAGGGGAGTGGGAAGGGAGAGCCTTAGTGGGATTCAACCCTGGGAGAAGGAAAACAGAAATCAGTGCATGGGGATGGGGGAAATGCTGGTTGGCTGCATAGGATTGTGGTGGTGCTGGCAGACTTTGGCTCCACACCCTCTGGAGCCTCTGGGCTCACCCTGAAATCAGAGGGACCAGTAAGGGGGGCACGGAGAGTGAGGATGGGAGTTTGAATTTGTTGTCCTACCATACATAAACCCAACACTTTAAACTTCCCAGGCCTCCTGTTGCAGACAAGAGACCCAACTCCCTCTCCTGCACATCTCCCAGCCCAGCAGAGCATTGCGCAGGCTCAGGAGATGTCCTGGGGTCCTCAGGGTCCCACCTCACCAGGCATAGATGGGCATTTGCTGGAAGCTCTCAGTGGGGATGAAGCCAGTGAAATCCTGGAGGAGAGTAGGAACTGGTGCAAAGCCATCCCTACCAGATATTGGTGCTGATGCAAACCCATCCCCACCAGCACTCCCCAGGAAAGCAGCCAGCAGCCACCTGGTACCCTGGAGTAGGAAGGACTCTCCTTTTCTCTCCCTCTCAACCCCCTTCAGCCCTGAGCTGACTGGTCACAACAAGGTCCTGCAGCCTTGCAGGTGTCCAAGGCCACCTCTGAATCCTACAGCTGTTCCTGGGGTGCTGCTATGCTCAGAGACACCCAGGATAAAGCAGGGTCACAGCCTCCAGCATCTCAGTGTGCCCTGGCCACCTCCACCACCTGCTGAGCTATGCCAGCACAGTACTGAGCTATGCCCACAGGGAGAGGGGGCTTCTCTGACAGCATCCCTCCACCCCACCTTCCCTCCCTCCAGCTGTCTGCTGCAGTGGCCAATCTCACTCTGAGCCGCCCAGTCTCACCCTGAGCCACTTGGCAGCTCCATTTTCTCTCCTTCCATCACAGATACTCTGGCCTTGCAAGGTTGCTGCAGCCTGAACTTATCTCATACAGAGAAAATCACACATCCTGAGCTGTGACTGCACAGGGAGCAAGCCTGCTTCTCCTAGGAATCTTCCAGACTGGCTGGGAAATGGGGCTGGAGGATGCAGCAATCTCCTTTTCTCTGCTTTTAGCACCCAGTAGAGATTGGTGAGCTGTCCACTGCTGAGATTTCATCCTTGAGCAGCACCAGCAAACATCACTGCTCCAAAGCATCCACTTGTGCCCAAGCTGCTGGGACTGTCCTGGGCTGGGTCACAGCAAATTGGGGTGGAAAAGGCATCCCTGCTTCCCACAGCACAAGGGGACTGGACTGCCAGGGCTCACCGATGCCCCGGACACGGCCAGGACAGAGCAGGAAGAGCAGCTGATGCACGACACACGGGCACGGGAAAGGTCGGCAGCGTGTGGCCCTCGGTGTGCCAACACCGACCCCTGCGTGTGAACGCTGGCTAATTAAGCATGTCTAATAAAGGAGCAGGATAATTAGTGTAAGAGGGACTCCAGACATCCCGCAGTCACTGAAACTAATGACACGTTCCTGAGAGATGCTGCAGAGGAGGCATGGAGGGCAGCTGGGCTGGGATGTGCTCACTGCCATGGAGCGTGGCCAGCCTGGTGGGGCTGCTGCCTGTGCCCAGGGGAGCCTGTGAGCTTGGAAAGGAACTCTTCCTCAAGCAGAGCTCGTTGGGAACATCCAAGCAAGAGGAAGAAGGCGAAGTTGGGAGGCTGTACATGAATAAGCAAGGAGTCCGTCTCCAAAGTAGATGGAAAATCCATTAGACAATGCACAGGATTCAGCTTCTGAACCAAACCCTCAGCTTTGGGGGACACCCCGGCAGCTGCCCGGCTCCACCAGGCGCATCCCGGGAGTCGCCTGCCTGCGGGAGCAGCCCCGGCCCGCGCCGGCTGCGCGGCCCCTTCACACTCGGCTGAGCGCGCCGGAGAGTGTGCCGTGGGGAGGAGGAGGAGGAGGAGGAGGCGATTTGCTCCGGATTCACTAACGAGTGATGATGAGAAGCGGAGGGGCTGGGGGGAATAACAACCAGCTTCCCGGGAGCTTCCCACAGCTATTATCCAACTAACCCTCCGAGGCACGGGGGAAGAGGTGACAAACAATCTCCCTGGGCACGCACACGGCTGCACGCACATCACTGATCAGACACGGCCCCGCACCGGGGACCGTCCCAGCATCCCTAAAGCTGCTGCCTGCTCGGCGTGCATTCCCCGCTCCCCATGGAGGGTCCCCAAGTGAGCCCCTGCGCTCCCCAGAGGGGCAGGGGAGGTGTAAAGGGATCGTGGGTTTGTTTTCCAGCCGGCTGAGCCGCGCTGTCTCTCTGATAAACTCTCAGCCGTGAATATCGAGCGCCGGTGTGGAGGAGAGCAGGCAGGAAGGCTGGGAGGCTGCTCTGGCAGGAAGGCAGGAGGTGGCAGGGGGAACCGGGGGGTGGGAGCCATCCCTGGGCACTGCAAGGAGCAACTTGCATCACCTCCCTTCGCTCTGGGATTTTCCTTCGCTTACGGCAAATTAAGAACCTTTCACCAAATCCTTCTGGGCAGCACATAGAGGTGGAGGAGGGAGAGCCACGATAAGCCACAGCTGGCAGCTGGAGAGTGGCTGGTGTGTCCCCATGCAGGAGCCACCTGGAGCTGATGGGACAGTGCCACCAGCACTTGGGACATTGTCTCCCCTGGAGCATCATGACCCTGTGGGGCCCCTGCTCCCTTCTGAAGCCAAACCAGACAGGAGGCCCTGAAAGCATCTCCATGCTGGCAGCTGGAAGCCAGGCAGTTGGATTTTCCCTCTTTTCTTTCCAGCTTTCACTGTCTGGGTGTGCCACTCTGAATCTGACTCCCAGGGTGCTAAGGAGGGGTAGGAAGCACCTGCAGGGATGATGTTCCTTCCTGTGTCTGTGCAGCAGTGAATGGATGGAAACCTTTGGATCACAGCCTCCATAGTACAATAAAATTTCAAATTTCAGGAAAACAATGGTCCAAACTTGGCTAAGACACACACAGGCGCTCAGCGATTTTAAGGCATTATAAGGAATTTGGTCCTGGCATACTTAATGCAAAATGGCATTAAGTCCCAGCTGCGGGTGGGAGGGTGGGTGATGCACAGAGGGGAGGTGACACAGAGAGCTGACCCCAGTACAGCACGAGGCCTGATGAAAACACACAACCATATTTATACATGTCACTACAACTAAACACCCAGCAATCCTGAGGACTTCCAGCAAACTCTGAAGTCCTGATCCTGCAGGGAAAGCGGAGAGGCTCGTGCGGGGGTCAGGCAGACACCGGGAGCCGTGCTCCCCTTGGCGTGCCCGGGGGAGCGGGTACCTGCGAGCCCTCGGTGCCCGGCTGCCGCAGGAGCTTGACGGTGCGGGCGCCGTCGGGGCGTTGGCTGCGGCCGTCGTGCCAGGTGAGGCTGCTGCCCGCCGAGCGCTGCAGGCGGTAGCTCAGGTTCTCGGCCGACACCGTGTGCTCCAGGAGGCTGCGGCAGAAGCTGAAGTGAGCAGAGGCGGCAGCGGCGGCTGCAGAGGGAAGGGGGGTGAGAGACGGCCACGATGCCCATCCACCCCATGCTAGGGCACCCAAAATTGCCTTTTGTACCCCATGGGACCTGCCAAACTCAGGCTGTGGGCCCCTCTCTCCAAAAACTCCCCGTTCTTGCCTTCCCTTCCCATTGCCAAGAAGAAAATCCACCAGCACAGGCGCTGCCAGCTGGCGCTGGGATCCAGCAGGCACCCGACAAGATGTTTGCCCACACAAACCCCTCACGAGCGACGCTTGTTTTGACACCCGCCAGCCGAGCAGACGCGGGACCTGCAGCTGATCCCCAACACGTGGTGGGAACCTCCTGCTTGTCACTGCCACCCTGCTGGGACAGGGACAGGGAGGAGGCCCAGGGAAGCTGCATGGTCCAGGCTGACAGTGAACTGCCACCACCGAGGGAAGGGGATCAGAGGAACCCTCCCTGGGCAGCCTGGTGGAGAAGGGAATGCAGGCTGGTCCCCCAGCACACACCATGGGTTCCTGGGGACAGCTGCTGTGCACTCCAGTGATGGCCAAACACACATGACCACAAAGAGACATTTATCCACAACGAGTGCTCTTTGTCCCTTATTCATAGAATCATAGGATATCCTGAGTTGGAAGGGACCCACAAAGATCGTCAAAGTCCAATTCCTTGTGTTTTAACAAGCTGGGGGTGTTGGGGTTACAATGAGGTTGCAAAGCTTTCCCTTGAGGGCGGCTGAAGGGACCCAGCTGCCACAGGAGGAGGGTGAGTGGGTATTAGGGGCTCACGCTCTGTCTGCTCCGGATAAAAGCCAGACAGCTTGACATAAGCAGCTCTGATCTGCGGAAGCAAAGACTGGAGCATCCCCCAGCTCACCTGCTCCCACCACGGGGAGCCAGGCCAGTCATGAACCACCTCCAAGAGCAGAGCAGCTCCCAAAGGAGACCCACTTCCAGGGCAAACTACCCTGGGAGAGCAGGAGGGCTGGAGAAATCGTGATGCAGCTCATTTTCCTAATTAGCAGGTTTTAAGAGGGAAGAGGTTTCAAAGAGACCATTCAAGTACACCTTTATGCAATAGGAGAACAACTGGCCAAAAATAAGGCAAAATAGAGCAAAAAAGGGCTGTCCCACCACATCACACAGTGTTTCTTAAACACACCCAGCAGGAAGCATTGCCATGGGGAAACTGAGGCAGGGGACCTGTCTGATTGTTGGGGAAGTGATTTTAGAGAAAACAAGGTGGAAGGGGATCAATGGAGAGTCTCAGTGGGGAGCAGAGGCAGGACTGGTAGGGGTGGTCTCTGCACTTGTCCTGGGTGACTTCCAGCAGTCTCAGACACCCTGAGCCTGTCGGGTGAGGACCAGAGTGGGCTGTGCTTCCTCCAGCCAGGGATGTCTGAGATGCCACTGTCCCGTTCCTGTCACCCTGAGCACTGCAGCTGTGCTGGGATACCTCCGAGCTGGAACCTGTCCATCCCACTGGGTGCTGGGGCAGATATAAACCTGGCAGCTCTGGAGGGGCTGCTGCCAGAGGTGTGTCCTTCAGCTGTGCCAGGGCTTCCCCAGGACTACAGGGAGTGGAGGGAAGGGAGCTCTGACCATCAGCAGGACCCACATCCATAGGGAGCTGTGGAGCATCTGCCTCCAGCAGCAGGACATGGGCATCTCTGCTCCTGCAGCAAACTCTGCTGGAGGCAATGCCAGGAGTGGGAGCAGATGGGAAAGCAGGTGAAAGTGGAAAGGAAAAACGATCTGGGAAGAAAGGCAGCTCTGGGAGCTTCGGGGGCATGGCTCTCCACTGGAGCAGGCAGTGGCTGCCCTGCAGCCCAGAGGCCCTGGCTCCAGCAGCTCCTCCACAGTCTCAGTTTCCCCGGCCCAGCCCTTGCATCCCAACTTTCCAATCACCTGGCAGCACTCGACATGGGACGGTAGGGAGGGTGAGCAGGGCATGTGGGAGCATTTTAGAGCGAGGAAAGGATGGGGACAGAGGAGTTCTGTGTCAGGACAGCTCTGGGCTGGTTCCACGCGTGGACATGGGGGTGACATCCAACACGAGCTGCCCTTTCCGTGCCCTGCACAGGGAGCAGCCACAGCATCCCCAGGAGCAACCAGCCGCCCTCCATCCCCTCCGCCCCTCTCCGCTAAGCCGGAGGCTGTGCCCTCCGGCCAGGAACAAGCATGCAGCATCTCCCCCAAGGCCCGCTGTCCCCACAGCCCCCCGGCCATGCCCTGAAGACCCCTCACCTGGCTCGGGTGGTCCCTGAGAGCTGCGGATGGTGGAGACGCAGCAGAGGGATGGCCGGCCCTGCTGCATCTCGGCGGGAGGAGGGATGCGCGTGAGCGCTCGGCACCGCTGTCACGAGTGCGGCTCCATCCCTGCCTCCCCTCATACCTCGTCCACACCTGACTGATTCCCCCGAGCGCCTCCCTCCCGCTGCCTCCGAGCCCCGGCTGCACGCTCACCCAGCTCCGGGCGGCCCCGAGCCGCTCTCACACGGGCAGGGGGTGAATGGCACCCCCTCCCCGCTGCCCCGGGGGCGTTGGATCCGGGGAGATGCTGGGCGCTTTCCTCTCGCGCTCCCGCCTGATCCCAGGGCCAGCTGGCACTGGGGTGGGCAGGGGCTGCTGCAGGGGACGCTGCACCCACCGGGCACCAAAGGGCCCAAGTGGCACCAGTGTGGAAAGCCGGGGGCACCGGTGGCTCGGGTGCAGGAGGAAAAGCGGAGAAGGAGCGTGGTGATGAGCAGCCTCAGCGGGAAGGGCTCGGTGTGGGCTGCACCTGCTCCCGCCAGAGTGCTCATGGCCGTGTTGGGGTCCCGGCAGAAGTGGGGTTCCCCCAGAGCAGAGGCTGTGCTGGATCCTGAAATGGGAATGCAGGAATCTCCAGGCTGGCTGAGCCCGAGCTGGAGCGGGGAGGGGAGAGCTCAGCTCAGGTCCCCAAACAGCCACGGTGACCCCGCTATTGCAAGTCCCGGCTGCTCTCGGGTCCCCGTCCCCGTCTGCCTGCCCCTGTGAGTGACACCCCACTGCCTGCTTGCCGCCGGGGAATCGCTGCCGGCTTGTTTCCATGGCTCTTTGATCCATTTTGGGCATCTCTCCAGCCACGCAGGAGGGGAGGCCAGGCCGGGGTCACCGCAGGGAAGCCAGCAGCCGTGGGACAGGGACAGTGGCGGCTCCCTCCCCTCAGCAGGGACAGCGCTGCTCCCGCTCCCATTCCCTCTCCAGACACTTTTATGGTCGGTGAAACGTGAGCGCTGGAGAGGCTCAGAGCAGCAGCAGCTGCTGCTGGGGAGAGGGACGGGAAACCTCCCTGGGCTGGGCACCTCGGGGCAGGATGTGGCAGCATTCCCCGGCAAAAGCATTTCCTTGTGGGTGCCGAGGTGCCCCGGGCAGATCACTACCAGCAAACCGGCTGCCAGGGGAATTTCCGCGGATGCTTCCTGCTCGCAGGTGACCAGGACCTGCCCGGGGGACACGGTGGCAGACAGTCAAGCTGCAGGAGGAGCAGGCAGGGACAGCCGGGACAGGCAAAGACTCCTGTTCTGTCCTCTGCCCCCACTTGTCATCACGGCCTCAGGAACATGCCCGTGTCTCTGATGCCATCGCGCGTGTGGCTGTCCCACAGCGCTGCCCTCCAGATGGGGCCGTGTCTGAGGCAGCCGCAGCGGGGGCAGCCAGGCTTCCCGGGGTCAGACAGCTTCCCGGGATTAACGGGAGAAGCTTCAAACAAGCTCCACAAGGAATGAAATCACTTTGCTGGCTTGCCTGGCTGCCCGTGTGTGACGACCCTTAAGGGTGGGTTTTCACACCAGGTTTAGCACCAAATACAACGAGGGATTTGCTTGTAACTGGAGGTGGATTTGGGGAGCTGGTCATCTCTTGTGTTCCTGCAGGCAGGTGAAGGGTGGATGCAGAGAGCAGAAATCTCTGAGGACTCCTAGGACTCTCTGAGGACCAAGGGAATTTGCTCAATTCAGGGAGCAGCTTTGTGAAGAACTCATCCTGCTTTTAGTGGCATCTGCATGAGCCATGAGCTCAGCTGGCATTGCCATTGCCCTGGTCCTCTCTGTCCCTTCCGTGTGGCTTCACCCTGGCGCAGGGCAGATCTGTTGCTTGAGCTGGTGGAGCCTCCAGGGATGATCATCCCAGTGAGGCTCTCTGGGATCCCCACACATCCCATCTTTGAAGCTGTGCCTATAGCATGGGCCAGGTCCTGCCCTGAGCTATTCCCTAAGACCTGAGGAAGATGAAACCAGACTCAAGGAGGACTGACACCCCCTCCAGCTTCTCCAGATTCCTCTGGAGTGTACTTGGCTCAGGCCCTGGGTGTGGTGAGTGTCACCCCAGCGTTTCCCTCCGAATTCTCTGCTTGCAGAGATGAGATGTGAGCCCCAGCCAGAGCCCAGGCTGGTGGCTGCCCACTGCTGGTGCCTCCCGAGGACAGAGGAGGAAGGGAACAAAAGGCAGGTGTCCTTTCTGTCCTCCCTGTGTGGCACGATGTGTGCCACGCTGAGGTAGTGGGCACAGTGTTTGGGGGGAACGTTCATGCCTTTGGGATATCTGTGCTCCTGAGACTCCCAGGGGTACTGCCAGGAGGTCCCTGAGCACCCCTTGACAGAGAGAGGACTCCTGTAGGGTTGGGCAGTGTGAGAGTGTGGGGTGAGGGCAGCGGGCAGGACTCCAGGTGGCTCTGGGCAGGTTCTCCTGGCAGGAGGCAGCTGTGGGAGCCCACAGACACGGACACCCCTGCCTGCAGTGAGCCCCCTTCCACCTTGGCATGCTCTTCCCGGGGGTCCTGCCCTGCTCCAGCACGCCCAGGCCCGCTCACCCTGTCCTCACACCTGCATCCCTTTGCCTTAGCCAAATTTTCCAGCCCATTTCATTGGTACCCCACAATACCAAGGGTAGGGCACGGGGATGGACTCTCCCCAGAACGGGGCAGTAAAGGGGAATGCGGAGGGACTGATGGGATGGAGCAGACAGCACTGGGCATGGAGGGCAGGCAGACCCCCGGCATGGAGGGGGCAGCAGCAGGAAGGGATGAAGAACAGACCCCAGGATGGAGGGGACAGCACCGGGGAGAGATGGAGGACAGACAGACCCCAGGATGGAGGGGACAGCACGGGGGAGAGATGGAGGACAGACAGACCCCAGGATGGAGGGGACAGCGCCGGGGAGAGACGGAGGGCGGCCCCTGGGATGGAGTGGATCGGCGGCTCGGTGCCCGCCGCGTTGGCGGCTGAGGGCAGCGCGTCCCGCCGCGCACCTGAGCCCCCCCGCCCGCGCCCGGTACCTTCCATGTCCTTGGGCCGGCCGCAGCTCATCCTCCGGCAGCGGCGCCGCGCTCGGGCGGGGACGGAGCCCCGCGCCCCCCGCGGGGCGGCGCCGCCATCCGCCACCCCCGGGGGCTCCGCCCGCCGCCGGCCCCCGCTGCCGCCCGCCCGAGGATCCCCGAGCAGCCCCCCATTGCTGGCCGGGCGTCACCCCCCGATCCCTGCCCGGGTGTCATCCCCGCGGGGGGAACAGGTCCTTGGGGACAGCAGGGTGCAGGGGGCACCATGGACAGGTTTTGGTCATGTTTGCAGTGGGCACAGAAAGGAAAACACCTGGTTGTTCCCTGCACCCCAAATGTCTCAGGTGTCCCTATCTCCAGCCCCCTGGATGGGGGAGGCACAGGAGGGTGCTCAGCCCCGTGGGTGCTGCATGAGCTGCGGTGGGTGGTCTCAGCATGAGTGGGTGCCCACCAAACCTCACTGGTGCTCGGCACACCAGCATGGAGATAAACGGTGTCACCAGCACCTGTCACCACCCCGGCGTGACCAATCCCACAGGTATGTTTTTAGGTGCCTGCATTCAGCTGTCACAGCTGACCCAGACAGGGACTGTCACTGCCAGCCCCTGCAGCCACCAGGGGAGCAGGGTCTGGCTGTGCAGCCTGTGCTCATCCCGCCCCGGGCTGGGGGCACCTCTGCTGCCCAGGACAAGGACAAGCAGATGTCTGGGCTGTGATACTCCACATTTGCAAGGCTCCCTGTCACAGACCCACTGCAGCACAGAGCAGCATCCTCACCCTTGTTTTAAGAGGAAGAACACTCAGCTTAAGCACATTGTGTGAGGATGATGGCCCCGTGGGCTGGGAAGGTGCAGCAGGTGGCAGTGACCTTGCACAGCCTCGGGCAGGGTTTGTGTGCCTGTTCATCAGCCTTGCACAGCCACGGCATAAAACCCTCTTGGATCCAAGCTGTGCAGCTGTGTGTGTAGAGTGGAGCACTTGCCAAAACTAAATTCAGCTCCCCAAATCAATAAGAGCTTTCCAAAATTTTGGATGCTCAATCAGGAGCTGCTCTGGATGAGGCTCAAGCCCCTGACAAGGCTGGATGCTGGCTCAGCTCTGCGCTGGGAGCTGGCCAGGGCTGACACATTCAGCGAGCCAACCGTGCTGCCAGGCAGGGAGTGGGGACATCGAGTCACAAACCATGCGTGCAGTGGGGACATCAGGCCCCAAACCTTGTCTGTAGCCTGCAAAAATCCTTTAAGAATTCCTGGGGGAAGCTGGAACTCCTCCTCTGGCTTCAAGAGAGCGGGCAGGGCAATGCTGCTTGTTGCAGGCAGATAAAGAAAGAACGTGTTCTCCATCCCTTTGAATTTCCCATTTCTCCCTCAGCCTTTGTCTGCACAGAGAGCTTTTGAGCCATGGCAGAAATTTTCCAAGAGAAATATGGTTAAAGAGGGGCCTTGGCAGGAAAAGGCTGATGTCGCTTGAGAAATGTGTGCAGGTTACACCAAGCTGTTATTAAAAATAAGCACTGTGCTGCTTCCAGCCTTTGCTTTCTGTGATTTTTCTGGTAGCAATTGCACTTCTCCAGTAAAGGGTCACATATCCAGGGGATGGAATTTGTTTCCTCCTCATCTGCAAATGAGTCTGGTGCCAGCCCAGCATCCCAATGCCTGGGGATACTGGGATGGGGTTTGGGTGCCTGGGCAAGTTCAGACTGCTCATCCATCTGAAATTCCAAAGGATTTTCAGAAAATCCTTAGCCTGGGGCTGTATGGGGAGGGTTGGAGAGGTGGTGTGGTCCCCGCACCTGCTCCATGCTCCAACCATCCTTGGTTTTACAGCATCCAGCATCACTCTTGGGCTGTCACTCAATCCCTCCCATGGTGGAGCATCTTTTAAACAGCCCCAGCAACTCTGTCTTGGGTTTTGGTCTGACTTCGTGTCTTTTAATGTCTGGTTGAGGACTTCTCACAGTTAAACAGGAGTTAAACAGCAGGAGTTAGACAGTTTTTTAGGGAAAGCCCTAAACCAAGACACAGCTTGGGGCACTCAAAGCACGAGCCAGGGCTCCTTTTCCCAAGGCAGTGATGGTGTGGGCAGGGGACAAGCTGG